ACTGTCACTATAACCTCTCAAATGTAAGTCTGAAATTCTGGGATAGAGTATACCTTGGCCAGCAGAAGTTTTCAAATACCTGAGAACCTTGTGTGCAGCATCCAAGTGAACTTGCTTAGGGTTAGAGACATGTTGGCTAAGACATTGTATGCTATATGCAATGTCAGGCCTTGTTATGGTTAGATATAACAATCTCCCAATTAATCTTCTGTAGCTAGTAACATCAATGTCATCAGAAGTATCAGAAAGAGAAGAGAGTTTTAAATTGCAGTCCATTGGTGTTTTAGAGGGTTTTGAAGCCAAAAATCCAGTGTCATTGAGAATATCAAGAGTGTATTTTCTTTGACAAATGTGAATACCCTTGTCAGAGTGGGCAAACTCTAACCCCAATATATATTTTAGAACACCAAGGTCTTTGATTGTAAAACATTTGTCAAGATGAGCTTTAATTGCAAGAATATTGTTTAAATCATTTCCTGTGACAATTATGTCATCTACATATACCAGTAATGCAAGAATAGAGTTTTCAGAGACTTTAATAAACAAAGAGCAATCAGCATCAGATTGTTTGAAACCATATGCAAGTAAACAGAGAGTAAGTTTGTGAAACCATTGCCTTGATGCTTGTTTTAAACCATACAAACTCTTGGTTAACTTGCAAACTCTCTTATCAGAATCATTTAAGTACCCAGGGGGTGGCAGCATATAAACATTTTCATCTAAATCACCATGAAGAAATGCATTATTAACATCAAGTTGATGAATGTGCCACTGTTTGGCAGATGCAATGGCAATTAAGACCCTAACAGTAGTGATTTTAGCCACAGGGGAAAAAGTGTCAAAATAATCAATGCCTTCTTCTTGAGTGTAGCCTTTGGCTACTAATCTAGCTTTATATCTTTCTATTGAGCCATCAGACCTATATTTTATCTTATATACCCATTTACAGCCTATACAATTTTGATTTGGTGGCAAAGTAGTTAACTCCCATGTTTTAGTTTGTTCTAAAGCATGAATTTCTTTTTGCATAGCCTCTTGCCATAAAGGGTTAGAGACTGCCTGTTTGTAGGTCTTAGGCTCAATATTTTGAGTAATAGAAGAAGTAAAGCAATGATGAGAATCAGATAATGAAGATGTTGACAGGAAATCACTTATAGGATATAATGTTCCAGAAGTTTCATCATGTGATGCTAAGTTTGAGGAATGGGGTAGAGAATGATTATAAATGCTTAGGTAAGCAGGTGGTTGCATGTTTCTAGTGGATCTTCTGGTATGGGTGGGTTGCTGTATAGGAGAATGATGTATAGCATTGGGATCTGATGTAGATTGAATAGGTGAAGTTGAATGATCTGTATGTGGGGATGGTGGGGAAACAGCAGTGTCTGATGAGTGAGGTTGTTGATGTGAGACAATATGTTGTTGGGAGACAATAGGTTGTGTTTCAAAGGGAATGGTATGCTGATCAGGGATAGGGAAAAGGAATTCTGAAGACTGGGAAATAGGGGAAGTAGATTTGAAGGGCAACACATGTTCATAGAATGAAACATTTCTGGAGATTATTATTTGCTTGGTGTCCAAGTTGTAAAGCCTATAACCTTTACAACCTAGTGGGTAACCAAGTAGAATGCATTTTGATGCTCTAGAAGCAAATTTAGATCTATTTGAATGCAAAGTGGATGCATAGCAAAGACAACCAATGACTTTCAAATGATCCAATGATGGATTGGTTTTATATAAAATGTTGTATGGAGAAGTTTTCAAAACAGATGAAGGTATTCTGTTTATTATATGAGCAGCAGCACATACACAGTCTATCCAAAATTGTAAGGGCAGGTTAGCATGAAACATTAAAGCTCTAGCTACTTCTAGCAGATGTTAGTGTTTCCTTTCTACCCTTCCATTTTGTTGGGGAGTTTCTACACAGCTAGTTTGATGAATTATGCCATGATCAGAGTAGAAATCTTTGAGGAAAAATTCTGTACCATTGTCTGTTCTAATAGTTTTGATTTTCTTTTGAAATTGAGTACAGACAAGGTTGTAAAAATGAAGTAAGAGTCTTTTTGTATCAGATTTGAAGGCCAAAGGATAGATCCATGTAGTTCTACTATGATCATCAAGTATAGTCAAAAAATATTTATGACCAGAATGAGAAGGTGTAGAGAAAGGACCCCATATGTCACAATGAATTAAATCAAAACATGAATCAGCAATGCTAGTACTAATAGTATATGGTAGCCTTTTCTGTCTACAAAAATGACAAACATCACAAGCATTGTGTACAGCAGATTTACAAGATGTTGATGAGCATATGGACATTTGAGATAGTTTATGATATGAGATATGTCCAAGTCTGTTGTGCCACAATTCAAAATCAGATAATACAGAAAAAGAAGATACATTTGATGAAATCACATTGTGATTTTCAGAAACAGGAAAATTCAAATGATATAAGCCATTCTGGAGCCTAGCAGAACCAATCATTTGTTTGGTTTGTAGGTCCTGTATAATGCAAGAGGAAGCAACAAAATTGACAATGCATTGGTTAGTGGAGGTTAGTTTAGAAACAGATATCAAGTTAAAGGAAAAGGATGGAACATATAGCACATTGTCCAGCACAAGATTAGGTCCCAGATTGATCTGTCCCACATGGCTGGCACAAGTGTATTGTCCATTTGGTAAATTTATTTTAATAGATTTTGGAACAGGAGTGTTAGTAAAAAGATCAATATTGCAAATCATGTGATCAGTTGCTCCTGTGTCAAGAATCCAAGTCTGATTTTGCAATTCAGAATTAATAAGACATGTCATGGTGATACCTGACTGATCAGAAATAGCATTGGCCACAGCAGGAGCTATGTTGTTGCTCTGCTTAAGCTCTTGTGATTTCTTAAACTCTAAGAACTCATGAAACAGAGCATCAGTCATGGAAGATTTATCAGAAGTAGTGGAAATAGGAGTAGATGTGGATATGTTAGCAGAATGAGATTGGGAAAGACTGGGATGAAACCTCGGACCCCTAGGACCTACCCAATCAGCAGGGTATCCTATGATCTGATAACATTTTTCAGTAGGGTGATTGTATCCACAATGAGCACATTTGACTTTCTTTTTATCTTTAGGAACATTGCTCTTAAAAGGTTTTTGAGATTTTGCAATCATAGCCACAGAATCAAAAGACTTGTTGTGAAGAGACCTTTGACTCTCCTCTTGCAGTAAAAGAGAGTAAACAGTGGACAAAGAAGGTAATGGAGAAGATAGCAAGAAATGACTGCGAAGAGAAGCATATGAATCATTTAGACCAATTAAAAACTTCATGACTG